GCCCGGCTCCCCCGGGCGCCCCGCGCCCAAGGCGCAGCCGGGCCACCGCAGCTACAACCTGCACGAGCGGCGCCGCATCGGCAGCATGACGGGCGCCGAGCAGGCGCAGTACCAGAAGATGCCCACGGACGAGTCGGAGGCGCAGACGCTGGCCTCGGCCGACCTGGACTACATGAAGAGTGAGTGTCGCTGGCCGCGCTCCTCCCTGCGCGCCGAGGGGACCCCGTGCCCGCGCTCACCGCGGCTGCCTCGCCGTGCCCGCAGGTCACCGCTTCGAGGACGTGCCCGGCGTGCGCCGGCACCTGGTGCGCAAGAGCGCCAAGGCGCAGGTGGTGCACGTGGGCAAGGAGCACAAGGAGCCCAGCACGCGGCTGCGCAAGCAGGACCGGCAGCCGCACGAGGTGCGCGCCCGCGGCGCGTATCGCGCGTAGGGCACCGCGCTTGGGCACGGGCATCCCGTGCAGCATGCAGAGCGGTGCCCGCGGCCCTGCACGGGGACCTGCTCCATGGGAGCAGCTCCTCGGTGCCGCGCGGAGGACGGGGCTCCGTGGGCTGCGCTGCGGCCCTGCGCTCACCCGCGCGCCCCGCAGGTCTTCGTGGAGCTCAACGAGCTGGTGGTGGACAAGAACCAGGAGCTGCAGTGGAAGGAGACCGCTCGCTGGATCAAGTTTGAGGAGGACGTGGAGGAGGAGACCGACCGCTGGGGCAAGCCGCACGTGGCCTCGCTCTCCTTCCGCAGCCTCCTGGAGCTGCGCAAGACGCTGGCGCACGGTAGGGCGGCGGGGCCGGCGCCGCGGCGGGCGCCGCACGGGGCCCCGTGTGCCTCAGCGCCCGCTGCCGGCCCCAGGCGCCGTCCTGCTCGACCTGGACCAGAAGACGCTGCCCGGGGTGGCTCACCAGGTGGTGGAGCAGATGGTCATCACGGACCAGATCCGGGCTGAGGACCGCGCCAACGTGCTGCGCGCGCTGCTGCTCAAGCACAGGTGAGCGGTGCCCGTGGCGCCCCGGCTCTGCGGGGTCCCCAGCCCTGCGGGGTCCCTGTCCTCATGGCATCCCCAGCTCCACGGGGTCCCCATCCCTGCAGCGTCCCTGTCTCCCCAGCATCCCTGTCTTTGCAGTGTCTCCATCTGCGTGGTGTCCCTGTCCCCATGGCATCCCCAACTGCCATGTCCCTATCCCTGCAGTGTCCCTGTCCCCGTGGCATCCCCAGCTGCAATGTTGCTATCCCTGCAGTGTCCTTGTCCCCATGGCATTACCTGGCCCTGTGGTGTCCCCATCCCTGTGGGGTCCCCGTCCCCATGGCAGCCCCGTCCCCACGGTGCCCGGCCCCGCTGACCGTCGCGCTGATCGCCCGCAGCCACCCGAGCGACGAGAAGGACTTCTCCTTCCCGCGCAACATCTCAGCGGGCAGCCTGGGCTCGCTGCTCGTGCACCACCACAGCACCAACCACGTGGGCGAGGGCGGCGAGCCGGCCGTCACCGAGCCCCTCATGGGCGGCCACGGCGCCGAGCACGACACGCGCGTGGACGTGGAGCGCGAGGTGAGCGCGGTGCCGCGGGGTGCCCGCTGTGCCGCGCCGCGCCGGCCCCGCCAACGCCGCTGCGCTCTGCCCCGCAGCGCGAGGTGCTGACGCCCACGCCGCCCGCCGGCATCACGCGCTCCAAGTCCAAGCATGAGCTGAAGCTGCTGGAGAAGATCCCGGACAACGCGGAGGCCACGGTGGTGCTCGTGGGTACGCAGGGCGCGGGCGCTCGGGGGCGTGCGGCCGCGGCGCGGCGCTGACCCGCGCGCTGCCCCCAGGCTGCGTGGAGTTCCTGGACCAGCCCACCATGGCCTTCGTGCGGCTGCAGGAGGCCGTGGAGCTGGACGCGGTGCTGGAGGTGCCCGTCCCTGTGCGCTTCCTCTTCGTGCTCCTGGGGCCCAGCAGCACCCACATGGACTACCACGAGATCGGGCGCTCCATCTCCACCCTCATGTCTGACAAGGTGAGCAGTGCCGCCGCGCAACGGGGCTGCAGCCTCCGGGAAGCGCCGTCTGCGTCCCCGAGCCCTGCGGAGGCCCTGGGGCAGCCTGGGGACAGCGGGTCCCATGGAGCCATCTCAGCTGAGTCCTTGAGTGTGTTGTATCCCCGCAGCTCGCTGCATGGGGCAAGGGGGACCACGTCCCTGTCCGGGCTGTGGCCGTGGGTGTCTGTGCAGATGGAGGGTCCCAGGGTCCCGTCCCTGTCTGGGCTGTGGCCATGGGGGTCCCTCCAGGCAGAGGGTCCCAGGGCCCCGTCCCTGGCTGGCTGTGGCCGGGGCTGCGGTGCTGAACCGCCATCCCCGCGCAGCAATTCCACGAGGCCGCCTACCTGGCCGACGACCGCCACGACCTGCTCACGGCCATCAACGAGTTCCTGGACTGCAGCGTGGTGCTGCCGCCCTCCGAGGTGCAGGGCGAGGAGCTGCTGCGCAGCGTCGCCCACTTCCAGCGCGAGATGCTCAAGAAGCGCGAGGAGCAGGAGCGGCGCCTGCTGCTGGAGCCCAAGTCTCCCGAGGAGAAAGGTGCGGGCGCGGCCGGTGCCGGTGCCGGTGCCGGTTGGGCCGGCCGCGCTCACGGCCCCGTGTCCCTGTGTCCCCGGCGCAGCACTGCTCAAGCTGAAGGTGGTGGAGGGCGAGGGCGAGGAGGAGGACGACCCGCTGCGACGCACGGGCCGCCCCTTCGGGGGGCTGATCCGCGACGTGCGGCGCCGCTACCCCCACTACCTGAGCGACTTCCGTGACGCGCTCAACCCGCAGTGCATCGCCGCCGTCATCTTCATCTACTTCGCCGCCCTGTCCCCGGCCATCACCTTCGGGGGGCTGCTGGGTGAGCGCGGGCACGGAGCGGGGCAGGGAGCGGGCAAAGAGAGGGGCAGCCAGAGTGGTGGGGCCACGGGGCACTGCATGTGGGGCTTAGGACAGTGCACGTGCCATGGGACATGGGAAGGGCCCGTGCGCCAGTGCCTGACCGGCGCTGCCCACAGGCGAGAAGACGCACGACCTGATCGGCGTGTCGGAGCTCATCATCTCCACAGCGCTGCAGGGCGTCCTCTTCTGCCTGCTGGGCGCCCAGCCGCTGCTCGTCATCGGCTTCTCGGGGCCACTGCTCGTCTTCGAGGAGGCCTTCTTCACGGTGAGGGCGGCGCGGGCCGCGCGGCCGTGCGGACGCCGCGGCCCTGCTGCTGACACCCGCGCTCCACCGGCAGTTCTGCACCTCCAACGAGCTCGAGTACCTGGTGGGGCGCGTCTGGATCGGCTTCTGGCTCATCCTCATCGTGCTGCTCATGGTGGCCTTCGAGGGCAGCTTCCTGGTGCGCTTCGTGTCCCGCTTCACCCAGGAGATCTTCGCCTTCCTCATCTCCCTCATCTTCATCTATGAGACCTTCTCCAAGCTGGCCAAGGTGAGGGGCGGCGGGGCCGGCATCGCGGGGCGCGCGGCGGCGCCCGGCTGAGCGTGGCGCCCTTGGCAGATCTTCCAGGAGCACCCGCTGCACGGGTGCCTCAAGGGCAACGGCTCCGACGGGGCGGCCGCGGGCAACGGGAGCGCGGTGCCAGGCAATGGCACATGGGGCCGCGCGGCGCCCAAGGTGACGGGGCAGCCCAACACGGCGCTGCTATCCCTGGTGCTCATGGCCGGCACCTTCTTCATCGCCTTCTTCCTGCGCAAGTTCAAGAACAGCCGCTTCTTCCCCGGACGGGTGCGTGGGGCGGCGGGGCCGAGCGCGGCGGGCAGCGCCGCGCGCCGGGGCCGGCCTCACGCTGCTCTGCCCGCAGATCCGGCGCCTCATCGGGGACTTCGGCGTGCCCATCGCCATCCTGGTCATGGTGCTGGTGGACTACAGCATCCAGGACACGTACACGCAGGTCGGGCCTCGCGGCGCCCGCGGGGGGCCCCGCGCACCGATGGGGAGCAGGGCTCCGTGCCAGCGCTGCCCGCTCCCCGCAGAAGCTGAGTGTGCCCAGCGGCTTCTCGGTGACGGCCCCGGAGAAGCGCGGCTGGGTGATCAACCCCCTGGGCGAGAGCAGCGACTTTCCCGTGTGGATGATGGTGGCCAGCGGCCTCCCTGCCATCCTGGTCTTCATCCTCATCTTCATGGAGACCCAGATCACCACGTGAGCAGGGGAGGCCGAGGAGGGGCCCGGCGGGGCCATGCGGGACCAACCGCGCCGAGCCGTGCCAAGCCGCGCCGCGTCGTGCTGCGCTTTGCCATGCCTTGCTCTGTGTGTGTGTCTGTGTGCCAAGCCGTGCTGCACCGTGCCATGTCAAGCCATGCTGTGCTGTGCCAAGCCCTGCTGCACCGTGCCGTGTCAAGCCATGCCATGCTGCACTGTGCCATGCCAAGCTATGCTGCACTGTGCTGTGTCCAGCCATACTGTGCCATGCCCGGCCATGCCATGCTGTGCCAAGCCATGCCAAGCCCTGCCATGCCGTGCTGTGTCCAGCCATGCCGTGCCGTGCCTGGCCACACCGTGGCCAACGCTTTGCCCATGTGCCCAGGCTGATCATCAGCAAGAAGGAGCGGATGCTGCAGAAGGGCTCTGGGTTCCACCTTGACCTGCTGCTCATCGTGGCCATGGGCGGCTTCTTCGCGCTCTTTGGGCTGCCCTGGCTGGCGGCGGCCACGGTGCGCTCGGTGACGCACGCCAACGCCCTCACCGTCATGAGCAAGGCCGTGGCGCCCGGCGACAAGCCCAAGATCCAGGAGGTGAAGGAGCAGCGGGTCACCGGGCTGCTGGTGGCTGTGCTCGTGGGTAGGTGCCCAGGGTCCCGTCCCCGCTGCGGGGGGCAGGACCGGGGCTGGCGGCTGCAGCTCCGGGTGCCGGCCGGGACCAGGGCCCTGTGCTGGGCACCGCGGTCACGCTGCTCTGCCCAGGCCTCTCCATCGTCATCGGGGACCTGCTGCGGCAGATCCCGCTGGCCGTGCTCTTCGGCATCTTCCTCTACATGGGCGTCACCTCCCTGAACGGCATCCAGTTCTACGAGCGCCTGCAGCTGCTGCTGATGCCCCCCAAGCACCACCCCGACGTGCCCTACGTCAAGAAGGTTGTGGCCGCGCGCGCGGGCCGTGCGCGGCACCCCGGGGCGCCGCGCGCGCCCGGCGGGCACTGACGGCCGTCCCCATGCAGGTGCGCACGCTGCGCATGCACCTCTTCACCAGCCTGCAGCTGGCCTGCCTGGCCGTGCTCTGGGCCGTCATGTCCACCGTGGCCTCCCTGGCCTTCCCCTTCATCCTCATCCTCACCGTGCCCCTCCGCATGTGCCTGCTCAGCCGCATCTTCACAGACCGGGAGATGAAGTGTGTAAGTAGCGGCTCCGGGGCGGCACCAGGGCCGGAGGCGGCGGTGCCGCCGGGCCCCTCACGGCCGCGTCCGCAGCTCGACGCGGACGAGGCCGAGCCCATCCTGGACGAGCGGGAAGGGGTGGACGAGTACAACGAGATGCCGATGCCGGTGTGAGCGGCGGGGCCGCCGCGGCGCCTGCGCCTGTGCCTTCGCCCCGGGCGACGCTCCTTCCCGGCCGGGATCCTGCCAAAGAGAAGCGGCCGCCGCCGCCGGCT